GATCGGGTGCCTCCTGCACGCCCCCGACTGGGGATCGAGCCTGCAACCCGGGCATGTGCCCTGACCGGGAATCAAACCGCGATCTCCTGGATCCTAGGTCGATGCCCAACCGCTCAGCCACACCCGGCCAGGCCACACTATTAGTTTTGATAAGTAATCTAAAGTAGTACTAGCCTTTCCTAACTTGTGTTGGTTGAAACGCACGTCTCTCATCGTCAACAGGACTGTCTAGATTTGAACTATTGCTCTCACATGACTTCAATCCATAATCTAGATAATTAATTCCCTGAGTGAGTTAAATCCCAAAAGTCCTGTGAACTAAAATCCTCCAGCAAATAAGCCTAGTTTTCCCCCTTGAATGGCCATAATCGAACTCTCACGTGGAAGTACCAGGTGAGGCAAAAGTAGGTTTACAGTTGTTTGTACGGAAAATAATAATTAACAATGCAAGAACAAACTAACAAGTGTAAGCCTGTTCCCCCCACCCTGCGTTTCTTAGGAATGTCTGCCGCTGCTTCTCCCTGGACTCTGTGCAAAGCGAAGCATCACAAAGGTCACGTGTAACATACGCGTGCAGCTCAGTTTGATTTTCTGAAGTAGGGAAGTACAGATTCTGTCCGGAACAACTTCTTTCACTGGTTTGTTACAGAAAGGAAACTTGTCACCATGCCAAAGACAAAACTATTGCTTCTGGGTGAATTTTATAAAGTGAATAAATAAAGTGAATAAGTGAAAAATATGTACACATTCATTTCTGACTCGTTATAAATAATTAAATGAATATATAATTACATCTGGTTTTACCCTCAAGCTCAACCAGCAAAGACATATTCAGCCCATGTAAAAAGAATACTTCATATTTTTTTCAAAAATTATGAGTGAGCTGCCACACATCACTGAATTTATATGCTCAAAAAGCAAGATTAATAATCCATCTATAAAATGATACAGTGGAGAGTGTAACAGCATTCAAGAGTTTTGTTTCATGTACATTCTGAAAATTACACTTACACAAGCACTTTCTTCGGGTTGACTTAAAGGTCTTCACCATCTCGTCTCACCACTGGTCCAAGGCTGGGGTGGAGCTGGGGAGCAGGTACAGACTCAGCACCTCTTCGAGGCTATTTTGGCTGAATGTTTTTTTGATGTATGAAGTATGACAAGTACCATGAATGATTTTCACACACACGCTAAAGCATATATTCAAATAGGTGTTGTCCCTCTCAGAGTACTTCTCTTCGGACTTATCCAAAGATGCTGTCATTTTGCAGGACATGTTTCAATCTCTTCTTTTGGAGTGCAGTTATAAAGTAATAATTGATTGCTTTTCCATGTTGCTCATTACATTGATTCTGAATAAATCCTTAGCATTAAAAAAATCCCTTTTTAATCTGGCCTTTGGCTACTTATTTACTGGCCTTTCACACCCACTCATCTTCTCACTCACTGCTTGTGCTCCAGTTATCATGAAAAATGTGCAGTTCCTAGTGGACTCTGTGCATTTGCATATGCTATTCCCTTTGCTTGAAAGCTCCTCTTCTTATTACTAAGCTAGAGATCACCACCTTCAGAAGATCTTCTTTTACTGACCCCACCTCCCATCCCCCCAATCTGTTTAACTACCTTCTATTTAAATGCCCCTTGAAAGTACCAAGGTCACCTCAATTCACCAAATTGTTTACTGTCTTCATTTGCCCCTCTCCCTAACTAGTCAGTGAGCTCCCTGAAGGTAGACATTGTATCTTTTTTACCTGTATCCTCAGGGCCCAGCAGTATTGACTCACAAATATTGTTCAGTAAAGGTTTGTCCAATGATGGCCTGTGAATGGATACAAAGGTTTGTCAAAAGATTTGTGAACAGATACTTGAATGAAGAGGGTAGCTTAAGATAACTCTGAAGGTAAACATTCATGTGATTGAGACCTAGTAGAGTTCAAGAATTACTGGATGATTTAATAAATGATATTGGGCAAACTCTTTCATTAGTTTAGTAAAATCAGATTCCTTACCTCATTATAATAAGCATATATACACAATTCCAATTGGACTTAATGTTCATATTTTTTAAAGATGAAACTAGAAACAACTATGAGTTCTTCTATAATTCTAGGGTGAGGGAGGTCTATTTAAATGTAATACCAAAGTCAGAAACCACAAAGGATAAAGTTAATGGTGGCTTTGAATTAAACTATCACTTTTCAAATGATAGCTTCTAGTTAAGGTATAGAAGCCATACTTTTTCCCCTCTGGATTATTTTCCAAAATTTTAAGATTCTAAATATCTGCCTATTCAAGGAGGTACATGGAAAAAACAAGTGATTATAAAAATACACTAAAAATTGTCCAAAAATCTGGACACACAGGGAGAATAATGTCTTTTTGATACTTTTTTCAGATTAACAATTGAACCAGTTGTTTAGAGGAACTTCACCTAAAAGTTGAAGAAAAATATATCGAGCATATTATTTGAAAATTTTAACTAGTATATTGTTTGAAAATGTTAGTCCTATGTTTCTGACTTTTTAAAGTTCATTCTATGAAGTGTCATTTAACTGTAAAAAATGGAGCAGCCACCCCACTGGGCGTGGCTCAGCAGCTGAGCATCGATCTAGGATCCACGAGATGGAGGTTTGATTCCCCGTCAGGGCACATGTCTGGGTTTCGGACTCGATCCCCAGTAGGAGGAGGCAGCCGATCAATGACTCTCTCATCACTGATGTTTCTATCTCTCTTTCTCCCTCTCCCTTCCTCTCCCTGACATCAATAAAGTTATAAAAAAAAAAAAAAAAAAAAAGGAGCAACCTTGCCCTGGCCAGCATGGCTCAGTGCTTAGAGCCTTTGCCTGCAGACCAAAAGTCCACATGCGGGAGGCAACCAGTAGATGTGTCTCTCTCACATCCATGTCTCTCTCTCCCTCCCTTTCTCTCTCTCTTCACCCCCTCCTCGCCCCCTCTTCCTCCCTCCCTTCCACTATCTCTAAAAAAATTAATGGAAAAAATATCCTTGGGTAAGGATTAACAAAAATTAAAATTTAAAAAAATGGAGCAACCTAAATGTTCAATAAGGAATTGTTAGTACATAAGTTATCCATACTAAAAATAATGTTATTGAATTTTATATAACCTGAAAAAGAGTGATATATTTTGAAATGAAAAGAAAAAATTAGATTAATAACTATTTGGTACAAATTATTTCAATCTTATAAAAACACACATGTGCTATCTATGTAGGTAATATGTATACAAAAATCTGAAAGGATAAACAAATGTATTAATACTGATTACCTTTTTGGCCTTATCTGTAGTTTCTAACCTTTCAACTATAAACACAGGTAATTCATGAGATGGGAACAAAAAGACATACAGTAGAATGCCTTACTCAAAACTAAAGCAAACACTCATCAAGTTTATTAAACAATAAAGCTACTGAAATGAAAAATAAAGATTGCAAAAAATCACTGCACGTATATGATTTCAAATGATTTCCTGCCACCCTGTGGAGACGACAACTCATTGCAGGATTGAAAGAAGCAAAATAGGGAACCGCAAAATCTGGAGATGCAGCTGAAGTTACAGGAGCAGGGCCCACGAAGTTGTTTAGCTAAACCTGCTCAGCAACGTATCAGTTTTGTTTTCTCTGCCAGGGACGTAACAAAATTTCTAGAACAGGAGGGGGATAATACCTAACGCATATATGATGACAATATGCCAAGTACTGCTCTGATATTCGGGGTCGCAAAAGTAAGTTCACAGTTGCGAGTATGCGAAACACGGCTTATTCTTGCATCGTTATTTATTATCGTGTTATTTTCCATACACACTGTAAACCAACTTTCGCTCAGCCCTGTATATATATGACTGTATCTCACAAAAACCCTATGAAGTAGGTATTACCCCCACCCCCACTTTATTGAAACACCGAGAGTTTAACCACCTACCAACAGTGAGTCGACGTTAAAAGCAGTGTAAACCCGGGAGCTGCGTTTGGGATCAGGGACTTAAATTCGTGAGCCTCTCGGGCCCCCCACGCCCCACCTTCCCCAACGCCTGGCCCGCAGAGGACACTGCCGGGCCTTCGCGGGGATCTAGTGAGACTGCTGAGCGGGATTAGGATGTCCTCCGAACTAATCCTATTTCCTTGAAGCTGTAGAGCAGGGTTGCTACTCAAAGTATGACCCGCAGACCTGGGCCCTTCACACTGCTGTTGGTTACTTGGTCTGCGGCAAGAATCGTACAGAAATGGAGAATAAGCATTTAGAAACCTTTATGGAAATTTCACAGGTCATTGATGGTTCCTGCCTCTAATGATAAAATGTCATATTTTTATGTGACCAAAGCATGGTCCACCATTAATTGGAAACGTAAAAAAATAATAAATTGATCGCTTCCTGTATACAGTTTGCGAATTTACTGTTGTAAAGCTGTTCACCCTCGAATTTTACCAAACTCTGGATTCTTCTGAGGTCTAGTTCCCCAAAATGAGGTCTCGGATACTTTTCCTCCCCTTATTTCATCCATTTTATAATACACAGGACAGCTGCAGCGATCAATAATGCTAACGCAGAGACTATAAAAATGGCTCTGAGACGCTCGGCGGCGTCCCAGCGCAGGGCGAGGACGAGCCTCGAGCC